GGGTATTTTAAATAGTTTATATGGTTGAATAGTGAAATGAGGTATTTTAAAAAGGCTATTGGTTTATTTTGGGTATTTTCAATAATTTCCCAACAGTATGTCTGCCTTGTCAAGAAGCCTCGTTTCTCATCATAGGCAGCTCCTCTTCTCACTCTCACATTCACCCAAAACTACACCAATATACTCAACTACCCACTTCAGAGCATTCAGTGCCGATACAGCAATTGATGAGAGTGATGATTCCACGAGCTCGCGAATCATCGAGGCCTTTCCGGGCCTAATGACGCCGTACTCGAAGTGAACTGGAGTAATCCCCGTCAAGTGTGGAATGACAGCATTATGGGACAAGTGGGGCGCTAGGATACCCATTTCCATTCTTTGGGTGGACGATAACATTTGTCTCCCAAGTCAAAATCCTCGAAACAGACGGCATTTTCGCAATTCACGTTATTGGATTTCTGGCCTTATCTTTTTTATTTCTACTTTTTATTTGATTTGATTCAGTACAAAGTTATTGCTTTGTACGCCATTAAAACTAACCCTTCTCATTTATAAGGGTAATTCTATCAGTTAATTTTTGCAGATGTTGGAATCAAATTTTATTAGAAATGATTCGAAGTTGGGCTTTGCTGTGGAATTTGTTAGAAATCGTTTAAAATTTGTATGAAGTATTTCCGCATTTCATTTGCAGTGGGAGGCCCAATTTACTTTCAGTAGTCTTTCATGTCGCCTTTGCAACATTCAATTGGAATTTGAATCAATAAAAGTTAATTGAAATTGAAAGAGATCATTCGCAATCCCAATTTGAAGGGGTGGAATTTAAATGCTTCCAGGACAACTTTCTTTCTCTTCACACGCAAACATGAGTTATTTCAAATGCATGAATATTGTCAAGCGGTTTTGTTTTGATGGAAGTGGTTTTGGACACTTGAATGGGATTATGCTAAAGTTCAAGCATCAATAGAAAATGCTTAATTATTTGGCACTACCTAATGCTATAAAATGATTCTAATTTATTCTGTTTTGCTCAGATAGGCGTTACCATGATGAAATTTTTGTTTTACTGATGATGTGGTGGTAGCTAGATTGGCTGTGGACAAAAGAAAGAGAAACATTTGACGAAGCCTGAAGTGGGTCATTTCAGATCTCAGTGTGTACCCATGAAGAGGAAGCTGAGGGAGTTTCCAGTGACTGAAGATCCTCTTCTTCCAATTGGAACATCCATCAGTGTCCGCCATTTCATTCCTGGACAATATGTGGATGTTACTGGAATTACAAAAGGAAAAGGGTTTCAGGTGACTGTCCTTTCTTTCCTTCACTTGTGTTTGATATTGCTAATTGTTCATAGCTTTCCTTTTTTT